TTACTGCTAGGCTGCTAACTCCCCTTAAAGTCATTTATTCCTCTATACGGGTCTCTAATGTTCTTGTTCTTACTGTTCATTGCAGGCTCATCAATTTTGTCTTTCAGATATTCCCTCTTTTGTTCCTGAAATGGTTGCTGGTTTCACGTCTTATATTGTTCAGATTATCCCCATTTAACTCGCTTGGATTCTGTAACCATTGCAGTTTGGCCTGCTCTCTTTGATCTAATAATTTTGATAATCCTCATCGAACCATGGCTTATGCTTCTTCGTTTCATAATACCCTAGACTCTCTTTGACAGACATTTTTATATTCTCTCTAATAGTTTCCCAAGCTTTATTAATATCCACCTCAGTGTCCAAGTTCTCTAAAGCCACGAACCTATTTGAGATTTCAACACGATACTGCTCTTTACCCTCTACTTCTTTTAATTTCTTGAGATTGAACCTCTCCATATGAACGCTGTGTGTTGTTTGTTTGCTCACTACCAGTCTTTCCCTAACCTTTGCCACGATCATGTAGTGGTCAGTATCACAATCTGCTGCCCTGAATGATCGGACATCAAGTATACTTGTGTGCCGTCTCCTGTCTATCAAAATATGGCGTATTTGATTGTGTATCTTCCCATCAGGAGATGTTCAAGAAAATTTGTGGATGTTACAATGTGGGAACATTGTACTTTTGACAGTAAGATTTTTTGATGTGGCAAAGTTTACTACCCTAACTCCATTATCATTATTAATTTCATGCAAACTCTCATTCTCAATTATTGGTTAGAAAATGTCTTCCCTCCCTACTTTTACATTGAAATCTCCTAACAAAGTTTTCATAGGGTACTTCGGGAATTTATCAAATACATGTTCTAGTTCTTCATGGAATCTATCCTTTATGTTATCAATTTTATCTTCTGTTGAGGCGTGAACACTCATAACAATGATATCACACCAGCGACCTCTTAGTATTATGTATGACATCCTCTCACTAACGAACTCTACCCTCTCAACTGCTGATAAGATTCTCTTATGTACAAAAAACCTGTACCTAATTCATGATTTTCATTCCCCTTTCCATAGATAAATGTATATTCTCCTGCTGGTGCGATGCCACCTACAGCCTATCTGACCTGTACTCCTGCTAAATCTAACTTA